TGCCCAAACCATCTCAACCTTGCCTTTCTAACTTTGTCTTCAAATTCTACGAGTTCTACAAATACATTAATAATCACAAGTTGCTTTTCCAGCAAGACTGCCAAAATGTCTCAAATATAACAACCTGGACATGAGTTTTAAAACTGTTGTGCAGATAAAATGTAACAATAAAACTATAACAGTGATCATCATTTTTTTAAAAACTGTTATATTTTACAGATCCAGGGATTTAAAAAAGCTAATTAATAACGAACTGTGTATTTTATTGCTGAATAAATGTGACTTTACAACAAGAACTGATACAAATTTTAGTCATTCTGGTTTTTATTAAGTTATATTTGAGTGATAAGGACTTTAGAGTGTGCTCACGGAGTCAAAGTTTAAAGAAAAAATGTGCCAATTTCCGCTTTATTTTAAATTGTAAAAGCATTTAAAGTTTGTCTGGGTAAAGTTCCGGCTTTCCTTGCGGTGCACCAATTCCCCGCAGAAAAGCGGACTACATTTCCCAGACTGCCCATGTCACTACCAGCAGCAGGAGCAACAGTCGCAGATCCCTCCGCCTCCTTCTTCAAACAGGGCTGCGGACGTATCGACGGGCCTTCCGCGACATACACACACCCCCTTATTAATAACGCCACTTTTAATTTTCCTGCCTCCCCGCGAAAAGCCAAATGTCTCCTTTTACCGAACAAATCCAACGGGAAACGTATTTTAACGTCCCCCAAACACACTTCCTCCGTCCTCACAGTGCCCGACACCACCTTCGCGCTCCGAGCAGACTTTCGTGTCCTCCGCCATTACAACAATGCGGCAGGCAGCATGGCAGAGGTGCGGGATGAAACGACGCAGTGGAGGCGGCTCGATAGCGTCAACGGGAAGCGCAGAAACGCCATTTAAACCACCGCCGCCTAAAACAGGGGCGAATAAGACAACAGCAGTGCTTTTTTAACGTTTGGAGTGAATGAAAACAGGGCGCCATAAACAGGAAACAAACGCCAGACCCTCTCACCCCCTCTCTCATCCACTCCCCCCACCTCCATCACTTTTTTGCACAAGCCACAAGCATGGCCGCACTACCCACAATAAACTTCGGCTCCCTGCGAGCGAAATCGTCAACCCCCACGAATGTGCGAGGCGAAAATAGACCCCTTCACACACCGCGACGCCCGCTAGCTCAACTTTCCCTTTCTCGTGTAAATTTAAGTACACATAGGCCACGGGTGAGGGATTATTTAAGCACAAATAGGTCGGGGATGCGCTGAGCGAGTAGCAGCGTGGTGTGCACGGAACCACGTGGTTTATGTTTGTTAGCCACAAAATACATCGATTTCGCAGTCAAAGATGCAAAATAAAAGCACGCAGAGGAACCGTGGACACAGCGGGAGCCCCCCGCGTGCTCGGTCGCCCCTTGATCTCGCCGTTTGATGTTAATTAATGCCCGCAGCTCCGCGTGAGAGGGTCGTGTACACAATAACACATCAGACCAAGCGTGTTGCCCAAAACCGACATCGCTAAGTGCGCGGTGCTCTCAGCAGATGACTTGATGGTGATAATAGTGATGATGACGGTGATAATAATAATAATAACAATAAAAATAATAACAGGCACAGCATGTCGGGTGAAACGCGCGTGGCATACACACCTACAAAGACCACCAATCACTTCTTTCTCCGTTTTCCTGAAATGTTGCAAGGAGGGCACCTTCTGAGTTGGTACCATGAAATACTCCATGCTCGCCTCTCGCCAGTTTGGTGCCCCCCCTCCCCACCACCAGCAGTTTTTTAAGGGGAAAAAAAGAAAAGCAGCAAACAGTCTCCGTGGTATAAAAAGGGAAAAATGATGACGTTAGTGGGTAAAAATCCCCCGTGATCCGATGCGGGTTAAATCCACAGAGGAGATATGAATGCCTCGTCCGTGTAATGTAGTACTTTGAGGCTGCTGAGAGTTGTAATGTTACTCGACTTCCAGCTGATGGGGTTCCCTCGTTGTGTGTGGCGCTCTACCTCTCTCTCTCTTTCTCCCTCCCCTTTGCTTTCTCCCTCTGCATGACCGTGTGTGTGTCTGTGTGTGTGTGCGCAGCTGATCGGATGGCTTTCAAGGCGGGAAACAGCTGGTAGGAGTCACACACTGCACTACCAAAAGCCTCCTTCCGCAGAGAGAGAGAGAGGGGGGGGGGGAGGACTGCGCGTAAACAAAGGACTATTTAGCGCAGAAATACACCGACACATGTGGAGAGCCGCGGAGGGAGCTTGAAATGTTTAAACCTGGGGGGGGGGCATTTACAGCTGATCTGTGATCAGATCTGCCGTCACAGAGCTGGCTGAATCATTAATGGTTTCCCGTCACATGGCTTGAATCGGTTTAAATATACTTTATGTAGAGAGGGGCTATGATTTCAACATAAATAGGCTTAAAAAAAACAAAACAACAACAACATTATTTTAAATTCTTATTTTATAACCCAAATGTCAGTGCACCGTGACAGCTCGGGCTCATGAGCAAATAAAGAGCGGGACTACTACAGGGGTGGACAATCCAACAGCTGCGATAAGGGAACAAGAGGGATCAGCTGACGAGCTGGCAACGCTGCACAGCAACAGCGCACCGGGGAGGGCTTTTAGGGACACACACACACACACACACACACACACTGAATGTTAATGTTGTTCACCATTTTGGGTGTGACAGACTCACAGTGGAAGCACGGGAGGCTAAATTACAGTAACCTGATCTAATCTGTTAAACAGAGGCTATATGGCGCATGCATGGAGTGAAGTCACAGGACGGGAGCAGTGGATTTGATCCGGAATTTTGAGCCGCCGCAGCAGCAGCAGCTTTATATCTTTTCACGATGGCGCATTTTTAGTAATTACCCACAGGTGCGGCTGCACGCTGTCGGGCGTTTACAGGAGAATAGAGGAATACATCTGTGGGAGATCAGTGCTGGAAACCGTGGCAGTGATTTTTAAAGCAGCCCTCTTCTGGACAAGTGCGTCTTAGCACCGTTTCACCAAATTACAAATGCTTCCAAGAAACAAACCCCCTCTTTACCTTTCATTCATAAAGCCTACATTGTTCATCTTTGAATATTGAATCATCATCATCATTGAATCATCTTTATATTATCTGGAATATTCATTTGTTCATGAATCCCGAATCAGATCGTAATGCCTCCAGATATAGCAGACGATTTAAACTCCACAGACATTATTATTTAGGCCCCCGCTTATTACTTTCCAATAACATGAAGATAGGCTAGATGGAGTTTTAATGTTTTACAACACTGATGGTACAAATACTCCATTCAGTCCCATTATTTATTTATTTATTATTCATTTTATTTATTTTTAATAGAAGTGTTAGATTACTGTTTTTATTTTTTACTTTCTCGCAGTAAATGTAAGGCTCCGGAGGCTATTTCACCTTCCACCCGGTAACTTTACGCCCCCTGGTGGTTGTAAAAGGAAAACCCAGGGCGAGTCACTGCCATATTGCACACCTCACACATTAGATGGCACAAGATGGGCCGGACAGAAACCTATCAGGAAAAAAAGTTAGAAAAAAAAGTTGCATTGATTATGACAGAGACTTCTGTTTGAGTTGGTATCTGTGCTGCTAGTTATTTTACAAACGTGAATTCCTTTAAAAGTTAGAACATATATAAAAGCCTATAAGACCAGAAAACAGTGGTGTACACACTGATACATATACAGCAAAATATTTGCACCTTGGAAATGACACATTACCTCTTAGATCCCTTTTATCTACATTGGTTATTTAGTAATGTTGTTATGTACCACTTTTTTACATTTACTGTACAAATTATTGTATGATATTAAGTTTTTCTTTGCATCTGACTTATACATTTATAATGACAATAAAAGGCTTTTAATCCTAATATATTACAGTAACTTACAGCTCGGCATTGGCCACATCACTCCAGGTTACCCTTTATTTACATTCCAAACACACACACTATCACTGTGGTGCCACTGGCTTTGTCTGTAACGTGCTGATACCACAAAATACAAGACAAGCAATCACTTCTCTTTTTTTGACATTTAAATTTTAAAATCTAACACGCTGACATTTTGTTTCCCAAATTCAACCGTGTAATTGTAGTCTTACCATTACTGTGAGAAACAAATGGGTTATGTGAAACCTCAAAGAGGAGTAAATGGCCCAGGGAACTGTTCCAGAAGGTGAAATTGCTCAGTTGGTGACATTTTCACACTGTTTATGTGCTCAAATCATAATATTGGTGTGTAATTTCCATCCAAATGACAAAAACAAGAGGGGGTTGTTTTTGTTTTGTTTTCTTCTTTCTTTTGTCCCGAAGAATGCACTAAATTATATGAGGATTCAGCCAAATATGACAAACTAGGCAATGTAGTGAATTTCTACTGTAGATGCAGCAACTGAAAAGTTTGTAAATAAATAAACAAATAAAGGTTTAAAATATGTTTGATGTGTTTTTCTTACAACTTATGGCGACAGTGTACCAACAACAAAAAAGGGAGAGGGGGCAGCAAATCCTGTTCTGTTTACTGATTCATTGATTATCAAAATATGAAATTAAAAAAATAAACACTTTAAGGTAAAAATGGTGCTCACAGCTAAGCTTTTAAAAAGGATAATCTGTCTGTTAATTACCTCACAGACTGCATTTGCTATAACCAGCTTTGTCTAATTACCGCTACAGTAATGCATCCTTATAATTACTGACATTTCTAACGACAGTGCAGTGTACGAGCCAAGTACGGGATGTTTTGGCTCGTGTGGTGAAAATGTGCGTTTGTCTTGCAGAAGGATCGCCTGCTCTTCTCGAGACTGAACTTTTAAATTACGTAACGGCGTTTTCCGTCTTTTCGGAGCAGCCTGTCGGGGCTGAGTTAGTGGCTAATACGAGCAAAGAGACAAAACTGAAGAAGAAGAGAACATTTTAAACTGTAAACAAGAGAGGTGTCACCCTGCGCGATGGCCTGTTGTTGGCGGGGAGCAGGGGCGGAGAGATGACCGTGAGGACACGGAGAGAGAGGGTTAGTTTGGAGAGGAGCCTGGGACTGCCTATGGTGGATGGGCGGAGCAGTAAGCATGCGCTGAGCTGGCAGACTCTGGGCTGGTCCTGACGGGCTGGCTGGGCTCCGGGCGGCTGTCTGTGCGCGTCAGACGGTCGTGGGGGAGACTTCCATCAGCACTCAGCGTCTCCCCGAGTGCGGAGAGGGAGGAGAGAGAAAAAAAATCAGGCAGAAGGCACACGGGGATCACTGCGCGAAAAGAAACCAAAAACAGCCCTACCTCTGCATCTGGAAAATCACCGAAGAAGCTAGAGACGATCCTCTCCCTCTACCCCACATCCCGTCGCCAACCCGCCCTATCTATCCTATCCACCACCACCACTTGGTGCCCTCCCACCCCTTCACCCCCGCCCCCTCTTTGGAGAAGCAAGACCACCCATAGGAACCCCTGTACTTGACCAGCGTTGCCATTAAGCGATGCGCTTTGAATTTAGGAAGAAATCACCTATGCGCTTTTGATGCACAGCACAAGCAAGTGGTCTTCGTTGTTTTTTCCTCAGCGGGAACAGTTCAGGCTAAGGATCTCTGGGTGTTTGCACTTTTTTGACGGGTTTCCAGTGTCGGGATAACATGCAAAATATCACCCCACGACCACAGACAAGGCTGTCATCCTCGTAGACAAGCCTTTATTTAAACGAGCAGCTGTCACACACGCTGCGTTTTAAGGCTTATGTTTGCTTTTCAATGCTTAGAAATAATCCTGACAATGGTCTGCAAACGGACCGCCTCTCCAGACACCTAGTTCTATTTTCCCAAGACATGACAGCTGTTTATTTCGTTTTTAACGTAGAAAAAGCAACAAACTGACGAGGGGTCTTCTTGACACAGACGCCGTTAGAGCCACGGGACTTTGCGTGCGAAGTTTGCACAGCAGAGATCGGGACCAAGCCGGAGATATCTCGACCACATCCACGGCATTCTCGCTTCAAGGTAAGCCAAAGGCAACCCTATCTGAGACGTCAGTTCTGTGTGTTGTGCCCACTTGTCTTGCGTGGTCACGCTGGTGTGAGTGCGCTCCTGCTTTGTGAGGAAAATTTGCGCGAGTTCAAACAGGGCAGTGACCTATTTTCGGGGACTCTCTCCAGCGGTGCGCCGAAAATCCTGCAGCCAGGACTCCCCGCTCTGTCACAGCCAACAGGCCGGTGGAGGCGAGCGTGCCATCGCCGGGTTTTGTGCCATTCACCCACAAACCGCGTCACCGACCTTTTCCGCGTGTCTGCATCCGTTCTTAATCCAGCATCCCCCTCCACAGACCCCGAGAGAGACATTTTTAGAGCAGTGTCACAAATCTCGCCCTATATAGAGGCATGCATCACCGCTCAGCCAGCTGTTGTGCAAGACAGAGCCTCCCTGATAGAAGCTCTCTGATGTTTGCCACCGCATCTGATAGAGAGTTCAACGTCTCCATGCTTGTGAGTGATACGTAAACCGGTGATGTTTGTTATTGGTAAATAACGAAGATGAGAAAATACTTCTTCTTTTTTTTAAACTTATTTTCTCACTTAAACTTTTCATCTTGCTGCAACTGGGTATAAAATGTGCTGTGATTAAATGGAATATTTTGCCCATAACTATGATCTTAAGACCTCTTTTAGGTCTTTTTATATGCCTGCCATTGTGTCATTTTTTTTCCATCCAGTTCTGAGTTAGATGCGACCAAGCATGTAGCAAAGGGGGCAAGGATGAGCCCTGGCAGAGAAACCTAGATAAAGCTCTATTTTCCTCCAATTAAGCAATTCCACTGTTCCTAAGCCTAATTGTGTGCACACTGGGACTGGGCCTGGGATGGACCTTCTCCCCATTGGCTGCCTCCCCTGGTCCCATTGTTCCAGAAGATGCCAGGAGAGAGAGAGAGCCGAGCTCTGCCCTGCCAAGGCAGACCTAACAAGGCCTACGCTGGAGGGTAATAAGGCCTGATCATTAAAACGCATTAGGCCACAAGCAGAACGAGGCACACTCAGGGGCTGGGATAAGAGCTGGATGACTGTATATTTCCAAGGTGACTGTGAGGTGTTCTGTGAACAATATAGTGTGTTGGTGCATGAGAAAAACCGTCACACAGGCAGCATGTGGAGAGAGGAGGTCTGGCCACAGGCCCACTGGACCTCTCTCAAAGAATGTGGGGAAGGAGCGAAAGAGGCCGTAGAGGCTTTCTGCACAGGGAGAGACTCCTTTTGCTCCCTCCCTGAGGCCCCCACTATGTAATCCATAAACCTTCTCAGAACTGTGAGCACAGGTGCTCCTCACATCCACAGCCCACTGGCTGCATTGTTTATCCAGTCAGCTGATGATCAGTTCAGCCGCAGGTCAACCATAACATCCATCCGAGAGAAAGACTGTGGTCAGACGGAAAGGCATTTATCACCATCGCTATTCAGGCAACGACTCTCTCCCACAACATTTAGTCATTGCAGAGAAAAGTCTCTCATCTCCACCATAAAGCCAGATGTCCACAGAGCTCCAGCTGTGCATCTTTGTGGTGGCATTCCACGCTCACAGGATGTGTGTGTGTAATTTTCTTGCTGTATATTTCCTTTTCCTTCCCTTAATTCATACTTGGCCATATGTAGGGAACTGGACTGCTGCTGGGAGCAACAACTTGCACCGAGTGCTAGCCAGAGTTATAGGTCTGACAGCCTTTGGCTGCTGTAGTTGGTTCCTCAGAGGATATGTACTATTAAGGCTGTCCACCGTGCCAGTCTCTAAAATCAGATCATGGGTGTGGTATTCACCCCCTCCTCAATTTTCCATGTGTCTTGAGATTGCACCGCAACCGTGACATCATTCAGTTTTGGTCCAAACTGTGAGGGAACGGCAGCTGTTTTATGGTGGAAAAGGTGGAACTCAAAGGCGTACTCCTGCGTCAGCATTACCACGAGGTTTGTGGTAGAGAGATGGTGGGAACCCAGGGTGCACTTGTGCTTAATACCTTAAACGAGGCCCAATACAAATGGACACCATAGATTTGATTGTTACATTGTGCTTTTTGCATTGCCGCCAAAGAAATCCTCATCTAAAGTCTAAAAGGTGGCAGAAGCAAGTTGGTTTTTTTTCACAGTTTCATGTAAAACCACAACAATATGTTTGCTACTTAAGAGGGGAAAAAACACTGTGCGGAGGGCAAGGATTGCTACCAGTAAGTGGGTGGGATGTAAGTTGCACAAACCTGCTTGGTAAAGCCAAGTTGAGTGTTCGAATTAATATCACAGTGGGGCTCCGTAGCTGCTAGGGATTACAGGCGAGCTGAAAGGCAACTCAGCAGCAGGGGAGGGAGGATTACAGTGGTCAGTGAATGAGGCAGCATGCAGTGAAAACAAGGCACCTGATACACACTTGCGTTTATCTTCCCAGGGATAAGAGCTGCAGCACTTGAGATTTCCCATGGCAGAGCCTGTCCTTTCTGGGGTTTGCATTTGTAGAGAGTTAACGCTAATCAGATGAACAGCCTCGTGCTTCATGCATTAGGGAAATGTCACGTCTCGAACGCGTTTGGCGGGGTCGTGCATTCAAGCTCGTTACCAGTGATCGAGGAGATGCAAGTGTTGTGCCAGAAGAAATGTCTTTGTACTGAAGCTAGGCGGAGAAGAGAGGATGGTCAGTTTTTGGATACATTTCTAAGAAAGCTGTGCCTATTTGAAGATAAGTCGCAATGAATGAGTTGCCTGTTTTCATTAATTAATTAAATTATTGCCAAAACGCTAAGGCAATGTAATCATTCAATTGCTTACCACTAACTGTACATAAAGGGTGGATAAAACCACTTTGGCATCATCCACTGGTTAGTAAAGTCCTCTCTTGTAGCGTCAAGCTGAACATTGTATGTAAATCTCAATACCTGAATGTAGATAAACTTGTATATAATAGTAAATCACTTCCAGACGAATCAAATCTTTTATTCTTAATCATTGCCACGTGCTTGCTGAATGACACAGACATATTTTGGAGCGCTGCAGACTGATGTGTCTGTATGGGTCACACTCTTGGACCCATGCATTAAGAATAGACAAAGTGCATACAGTGACTTGACTCATTCCAGTTTGAAAACTGAAAAAGACCAGTGCATACCGCTTTGCTCCCAGGCTGGCTGGGGCTCACGCACCGTGCATTTTTCTCCAGTTAAACTGTAACCACTAATCACCTCACGGCCTCACTGCTTCCTCCTCGAGCAGACCATTCCTGTGTCCCCAGGGTGGGTTAAACTACCCCTCAGCCCCCTGCCCCGAGGGGATATATGGTCTACCCTTTTCTTAAATCACCTGTGTGGGACATCCTAAATGAGTGCTCGGGTTTGGCTTTTTCTGTGAGGATCGGTGAAGTTTAGGGTCAGTTCCTCTGCTGCAAGTGTGCAGTCCTGCATTTCCAAAATAAACACAGACAACTCAGTGCTTCACTCCAACCACCCCGCCCTACCTCTTCCCATTCTCTTTAAAGCGCCTTCTGCACTCCCTGCTCAGTATTTCTATCATGAGAGAATTTCAGCTCGCAAAGCCTTGCAGACAATATGCAGACCATGTCTGGGGCAGGGCACTGCTGATGAGGAAAGATAGAGAAAGAGAGCTAAGACATGGGAGATTTTAGAGGAAGACGCTCTCTTTTTTTCCCTTTTATTCTCCTTTCCTTTTTACTTTTTGTACTTTTGGTCCATTTCCAGCTTCATTGTTACTGTTTAACTTGCAAATGAAAGTAAAAGTAGATCTAGTTTGACCCTTTAAGGGATCAGAAAGCTGAGTTAAGGGATCTGCCAGTTGTACAGTAATATACCCAAAGTATTGTGGTTGAAGTGGAGCCGCAGCTGGTTTATGTTATTATTACTTGCTCGGTCAACACCCTGGATTCTGTCGTATGTGCAGTCCAGTTTGACTTTGTGTGTTTGCTTGTTTGAGGAGAAAAGAAAGGGAGGAGCTCTGCCCGTGAGTATGGCTGAGGAGTATCGGACTGGGAAGGGAGGAATTGTGAGGGTTTCTTTTTTTTTCTTTTTAAGAGAAGGGGGTGAGGGAGAGAGATGGGTGAGGCATTTCTAAGATTCACATAAGGCTCTCAAGTCTGGGCCTGGGCCTGGCTCTCTGTCTGGGCATATCCAATCCTGTCAGCTAGCTTCCAGACTTTGCCCCCTTCACCCCCCTCCCTCCTACCACCCTCTTCCCCTCCATCCCTAATTCCCTGAGACGCCATTTCCTCCTCGCGTTCAACTCGGCTTCTATTCCCTTCTCTTCCTCCGTCCTTCCCTTACGTTTTTTGTCTCCCACTTTCCATGAGCTCCCAGCTTCGTGTACATTACATAAGACATTCTCCATCTTATACATGCAGTAAAAGAGAGAGAGTTAGAGGGGGGGGGAAAGTTTGGCCTCTTAGTGTTTGTACCTTCTCTGTGGTGTTGTGGAGATGTTGCCAGCACTAATTTAATTCATATGTACCGTGGTTGTTTTCCCTTTTTTTCCCTCTTACCAGGGAGCCTTATGTAATTTGGGAATGTTTTAAGTTTGAGGCTGCTTTTTGAGACTAATTCTGACCTCAGACGCTTCTGTGAAACAGCCTCACTGTTTTTATTTGCTCGCTAAAAGTGAATTGGCTTCAGTGGCCATCTTAACTATTGATGGTCGCCATCTGAAAGCCGCGTACTCGCTCTTTGTTTGCTCGTGTCTTTAATAATCGGTGCTGTCAGTCATAGTTGACTTTGCCATTCCTTATCTGATTCTAAAGTGTTGGCATTGATTCAGATGCAAGAGCATGGCTATTTTCTTGACCTTCAGCTCTAACTGAGACTCTTTCTCAGGCTGCCGATGTGCGGTTTGTTCCACAACACATTTATTTGGTTCTTCGCCGTTCGATCTCTCGTTTCGCCAAAACGAGAGGAGGAATCGGCACCAGATCTTTCTGACGCTCAGCTCCAACTGATTGCACGACTTGGACGCGTCAACAAATTTAAATCG